CGAGCACGGGCGGGACTGCCACTATTACCGCCTGCTCGACGGACAGAGCCTGCCCCCGCCGGGCCCCGCCGACCAGCTGGGGCTGCCCAAGGAGGTGTGGCTGCTGGAGACCCCCCAGGCGGCAGACTTCTGGTGTGGGGGCGAGCCTTACCCAGGACCCCAAGTGTCCCCTTGAAAGGGAGCCTCTCAGCTTCACCGCCAGCCCCCCCCCCCGGGCAAGAGTGAACCCCCCTCCCCGGGGCCTGATCTGCCTACACCACCTTGGTGGATGGGGTTGGGGACCCACTGGAAGATGCCAGGAAAGCCACCGTCTCCGGATGCCGATCTTTGGGGTTGGAAGGGCAGAGCCTCTCTCAGGCCTCTCCGCTCTCTTGGATTAAGAGGTGCTACTGCTGCTGCTACACGGAGGATCTCACAAGCCAGAGTAATCCTGCCCTCTCCCAGGCCACGTGCTTTCTCGGTAATAACAACAATAATAGCAGCAAAATATATTTTTCACCCACCCAGCTCCTGAACAACACAGTGCTTGTGTTTCACGAGGGCATCTCGACGTGCCTGGAGTTAGGCCTGCATGTGCGGCTGCTGCTCTGGCTTGAAGGTCAGCCTCATCTTGCTGGCTTCAGGAAGAGAAATCCATTGGCTAGCTGTCAAGATGGGCAAGTCTACAGAGGTGGCATTGATACTTCATGAAGAGTTAGAAGAAGACATTCAAGTCCACAGACTCCCACCTCTCAAATGGTACCCATGCTGATAGTTTTTGTAGGGTGGGCTTTTTGGTTCTCCACCCCATCCCAATACCTGGAAGCACAGTAGCAGGCAGGTTGGCATACAAACTGAGAACCCTTTGTGTATGGCGGGTGGGGGAGAGGGGAGGGAATACTGTGGGACTCCCTCTTCAGATCAGTAGTATGGGATGGAGTTGCTTTACTGTGGGCCTGTCTCAGCTGCAGAGATTTAGAAGAGAAACTGCGTCATCTGCTCAAGACACAGAATGTACCCCCACTTTTCCCCCCCTTCAGGGGAAGCCACATGATTGGGAGACTGCAGGTGTAACTGAGAATTCTATGGGCGAAAAACATGCAGGTGCTAAAGCATTTATTCCTACCAGCTGGTGTGAGGAAAATACTGTCCAAAAGATTTCAGGCACCTGAATGTTCCCCCAACCCAAAGCACTACTCGGATTCATTTAGAAATAAACTTTGGGTTGTGAACCTGCACACACACCCCACCCCTGCTTTTTTACAGCTGAAAAAGAATAAAGGCAATAAGAACTCATTCCTGTTGCTTTTTAATTACGTGCCCTGCCCTGTGAAAGGTCCAAATGATTTTCTGGTAGTTCCCCTGATGATTCCTTAGGTTGTCTTTTACATCAGACCCGGACGTTATCCTGATTCTCTCTAGGATGAAGATACGATGGGCTGGAGCCCACAGTAGTTTGGTATACGGTTTGACTGAAGGTTACATCACGGGATGCTTGCAAATTAGAGATGATCCTTAAAAATACTGATGTGACGAGGGAATGCTTTTTAAATATTAAAAGTGAGGAATCCTGCTGGTCTGTTGTGATTTCTTTTAACAAATGATTTCTTTTCTAGTGGCTTTCACTGCAGAGAGTCATTCCTTGTGTTTGAGAAGGGATCGTTATGCAATACAAGAACAGATGGCTCTTTATTTTATTTTTTGGCAATTGGTGAAAGTAGTCTTCGTTTCTGGCTCAGGTTATTGTAAGAATATTTTAAAAACTGCAATTCCAGGCAGATTCTGGGTTGACCTTGCTGTTCTTTAAAAGAAGATCTACACCTACGTATGAACAGATTTTAAAAAATGATATACTTTTTCTTTTATACTATTTATAGAGTTACTTTGAACAACACTTATTAAAAGAGGCGAAAACAGATTTGCTTTAATTCATTGCCATTGTGGCACTTCCTGCTCATAGCCAACTGTGCGGGGGTTTTTTGAATTATATTTTCTGGGTTATATTGCTATTTCTTTTTTTATTAGCCTCTTAAGTTTGATGTAAGTACCCGGAGAACCTTTACAAAATTACTTTCATGAATTGTTCATTTGCTGTGTTTATGGCAAATGTAGCAGTGTTCTGCTATTGCTGAGGTCTCTACCCACATGTTTCAAATGATTTGCAGTAATTAAGGCTTTTGTATTTCCCCCAGAGATAGGAAATGGAACCTCAAATATTTCATAAGCAAACTTTTTTTTGATGGATATTGTAAGTGGCATTCATATGGCAATTCCTAAGCTTTCCTCTTTATAACCATATCTCATTTTCCATCAGTTTTAATAAGACATCAATTTCTGGAAACATCAGCTGAGGTTCTTCAATAGCAGGCTTAGCTCAGCTGCCCTTTCAGTCAAAGCTGCTTTGTCCACTGATGTACAGGGAGAGGAGAGAAGGCCGCTAAAGGGAGCATTGCCAAAGCAACAACATGCTGACAGTACAGCTTGGAAATCTTAGGAAAGTGTAACCTGGCTGAAGTCATCCATATGTTTTCTAATGAAGGTATACAATATTTATCAGAATTTGAGATTAAAATAGCAGATAGATTGCATGGAGTTTTATCTGAAAACAAGTCTAGGAATACAGATTAGGGTTGTGATTGTCTTTTATTGATCTCAGGTTTTGCATCTTAGAGCAAAGTTAATTGCTGTCTGGAAAACCTTAATACCATTGATTGAAGCATCAGTAGACTTTCTGTAGTAAAAAGGGGGACTTTTTAATAAGGGCTTTATAATAGAGTTCAATCAACATAGGATTACAGAAGGCATTTAAGAAAACGTGTGTAGAGATTGTAGCTTTTCAGAAATATGAATATGACAAGAGCCTTGCAATATGCAGAATAAATTGGGTGGAGGCATATATGAGCCTTCAGAAATTATGTATGACTTAACCAAATGGTTTTAATGAGTTTACAGTTTTAGTCACTAAGTGAGAGATTCAGCCCATTATTTTATAGCACTAAGTCTTAAATTGTACATGTGCATGTGTGCGCGCACACACAGAGAGTATATGTATACATACATATATATTTATACACATATACTATTTCTCTCTCCTAGTAACTTTATTTTTTAATGTGCCATCAAGTCACATCTGACTTACAGTGATCCTAATAGGGATTTTAAGATATATATTTAAGAAGTGCTTATACTGGTGCCTTCCCCCGTCCTGTGAGCTTCCATGGCTGAACAGTTTAATACACTGCACGTCTAATCTCATGTAATTTGGTGGGACTGCCATAATTAATGTGTGTAGGACTGCAGTAGCCTCTAGTGAACAAGCAGGACTCCTGAGTAAACATGAATTGGATTGGGTTGCTAGTCTCCATACCTTCTGTAAGATTAAGCAATGTGAAGTGTATGACATTTGTTCCCTCTAAGTAAGCATTTTAAATTTATTTAACAACCTGAACAAGATAGTATGTCTGTCGTCGTCGTTTAGTCGTGTCTGACTCTTCGTGACCTCATGGACCAGAGCACGCCAGGCCCTCCTGTCTTCCACTGCCTCCCAGAGGTTGGTCAAATTCATGTTGGTCGCTTCAATGACACTGTCCAGCCATCTCATCCTTTGTCATCCCCTTCTCCTCCTGCCTTCGCACTTTCCCAACATCAGCATCTTTTCCAGGGAGTCTTCTCTTCTCATGAGATGGCCAAAGTATTGGAGCCTCAGCTTCAGGATCTGTCCTCCACTGTAAACTTAACTTGGCTGAAGGGCACCCTTCCAAAAACAAACAGGAAAGCCAAGGCCCAATTTCTGGTGATAATGACCAGCAGCTTCCCAAATCCTATTCCAAAAAGTACAGAGAAAGTGAGGAAAAGTTGGGCAATCAGGAGGACTTATAAATAGGATATTATAGACAGTTTTTTAAAAAATAATTTGGTCTGTTCTACATATGAGGAGCCTGGATGATGGGATCTTTCCCAATATGTTTTACCTTTAATTTCAAAGCTTGGCAAAGCCTCTTAATGCCTATTTGTCAGCATGGATTTGATTTAAATCACAATTGAATTAAAAAAGGGAAATTTTTTGCCCATTTAAATTTTTGAAAATGATTTTTTAAATATAAATTGTGATTCAAATCAATTAAATATTTTTTAAAATCATTCATTTTTATCTACCTTGCTATTTGTCCCAAGGTGCCGGAGAGCCACTTAAAGGCTTTCCTCAAGAAAAGATACCAGTGCCATTTACATGATGGAGAGCAACTACATCCCTAGCATTGTATAAGAAGCCAGCTTTAGGGATGTTGCTGATATGGAAGAAACCATTTGCAGAATGGCAGATCTGTTGTCTGCACACAGATGGTTGGTCCTTGTCCTGTGGGAGCCTGCCACTGGCAATTTGTGGCACTAATATGCTAGGCTGGTGGCACAGCTTAGAAAAGTTACTTATTTGGAGTACAACTCCCAGAAGCACTGTCTGTAGCCTTTGTGGGTTCTTTCAGTTTTCACATACATTTCTGCAGGCATTCTGTATAATTTACAGTGAGGTGATTCATATGCTTTATCAAGTTCCTGAGGGGAGGCCAATGAGCTTGGGGTTTCAAGCGGAAATCTTCAGTTGAGGATTATAGAAGACTGGGGGTCACAGCTTGTGTATATGAAACAACAAATTACAAAACTATGGTGGGCTCATCCTTTCCAGAAACTGCAACGTTTTGTCAGAACTTCTTACATGGAAATAATAGCTGAGTCTCTCCAATGCAAGAGCCTTTCTGGATGCTTTCCCTTACAAAGAGTTGAAGTTCAAAATCTGTGGAAATCAACAGAGTTCTCGCGTCTAATGAAACAGATTTTCAGGGGTGGACAGGCTTCAGGCTTGCAAGACTGGCTTCCTTCCTTTTATTCCAGAAAACTTCAGGAACTACTAGGCAGAACTTAATGCAGAAGACATATAGTTAGAATTTAAATAAGTCTGAGCTCAGCAATTAGTTTTCAGTGCTGTAAGGAAGGTGAACCCAGTCGTTTTACATCACTTCTGGTTACATTTGTTGCTGTTTTTAACTGGCAATGTATTTGGGAACATTGAAGAACTAGTACAGTAGTCAGAAATACAGTACTTGCCCTATTGCAAGGTAACCAGATATCAGTAGACCCAGCAGTTTTCTGCCCAAACCCAGTCTATTAGACTGATCTTTTCCATCTCCTCCAAGACCAGATTTTCTCAATGAGAAAGTTAAAACCAAGTTAGAGAAAATTGTCCCCTTTTCTATCACCCTACATACTTTGTCACCTGCCAATAATAAGCTGGAATTGTGGCATTTAAGATGCCTTGTGTGTAACATTCTAAGCACATTAACTTTCAGAGCAGATTTACTGAAATTAGTGATGTTTTGTTAAAATCATTTCCCCTTCCTCATGGAGGGCAAAGAGAATGGGTGTTGTTGGACAACAATTGTCAGCAGCACCAGGACATGTAGCTTCTCAGGAGGAGAAAAGTCATGTTAATGTTACTGTGAGCCATCCTTATGTCGCTGTGTGTTCTGCAAAGTGCCTACTGTATCTGTTGTGATAATATATTTTGTGATAAAATAACTGTTTCAGTAAATGGAGTAAAAAGACCAGCAGATGAACATTTCTTGCAGTGACCCACTGTGTCATAAGCCACTCCACTTGTTCCATTGGCCTTTCCAAAAGTTGGTTCTCTTTTTAAGCCACACAATGGTGGCTTCTAATTTTTAGCAAGAAGCCCTTATCAGGCCCATTTCCACCTTGTCCAATCAACACTGTCTTATGGGAAGGGTGGGTCGCTGGCCTCGGGACCAAATCTGTAGAGGGTCCAAATGTGACCGAGAGAAGCTCCAAGTCCCTCTTCCCAAGCCCCACCCTATAGTTGGTGGAGAAAGGAATGTCCATTGTTTGATCAGTGATTAGAAATAATTGTGGGAGTTCTCCCTGATAGACAACATGGGATGGTGGCCATTCTCCACAATGCTTGGGGAAGCTAGGTGAGAACACAGCTTCTTTTCCTCATCCCCATTCAAAGAAACAGGATGAGGAGATTCCCTGCCAAAACATGGAGTAGAGATTAACATTCTTAGGCTGAGGACCTAGTGATGGTGTGGCCATGATTTTTTATGTCACCTGATCCACAGAAGGCCTGGGGGGGGGATCTGATGTTCACCCCAATATGGTTCCCTACTAAGTCCTGGGGATGAGAAGAGAGAATGGTGAAGGCATCCTTGAAGAGTGAGAAGGACCAGCAGAGCCAAGAGACTCCAGGAATGGACAGTGGGTTTCTTCCCCCAGGGCGTGTCCCTGATACACCTGGTTGCTGGGAGCAAGCAAGCAGGCTCTGAAAAGAACTGTTTGGGGACTTTTTACTTCTACAATATTACTGCCTGCTCTACATACAATAGGTCGTGTTATTATTGACGTTTCCATTAAACTGATAGTTTTTTATGCCTCTTCCCAGGTTAAGAGGCATTTAAGGTTGTGACCTACTTGAAATGGAATCCGATTGTACCATGATGTACTTTAAGCTTTCGTCACAAAGCCATAGGCACCTTTTCCTTGCCCATCTGAGCCCTGAAAGCC